GGGGGGGGGGGGGGGGATGGGTACTCCTGGAAGTCGGGAGCCTTCACCAAGTTCCAAGCCATTATAGACCAGGAATGCCCCTGGGGACCGGGCGCTCTGTAGAGGTGCTCTCCCACTTTCCACAGCCCGCCTCTCAGTGTATGACTTACAGCTGGAAGGAGCCTCAGAAACCAGCTAGCTCCCAGGTCACTGTTGTATGAAGATGAAGAAGTTGTTGCCCAGAACATTTAAGTGACCTCACAGTAGTAAATGGAGAGCTGGACCCACACACACACTCCGCCTGTGCCTAGGATGGATGGAATCAGACCTCTAAGCCAGGCCACACTGCTGGAGACACGTATTTTGTCTCTGCACTCATGCTGCCTAAAAGTCTATTTCCTCCTCTCACCCTGTAGGGGGTGGGAACACCAGTCCCCCCAGCCCACTGTCTTCTCACCAAGGAGCCCTCCTGGGCTGTCTTAAGCAGCTTGTAAAACCATAGTATTGCGCGCACACACCCCCTCGTGGCCACGTGTGGAAATGCATACCCCAAAAAAGAGCATATTTGAAAGGTTAATACCCACCTGGGTTGGAGCTGGTTGCCACCAAAAAGGAATCTCAATAGGATCTTAACTCCTTACAAGGAAAGGGGAGTGCAGTGTGATCTTAGGTGAAAGAGAGTGAAAAGGGGATAAAGAAGCTGACAGCAATGGCGCGAATCTTCTGCTCCAGACCCTCCTGAGCACAGAACCTTCCAAGAGGGCAGGTGCCCAGCACTGTGAGTGCCCATGTGGGGTCCTCCAGAGAGAAAGAGATGAATGTCTCTGTGAGATGCTCAGAAAATTATCCCCACCCACCAAGCTGGCTGTGGAACACCTCCATGCCTTGCTGCAGACTGCTGGGCCTCATGAGATGGCCATCCTGTGGCGCTAACCCTCAGATCCCCTTGAAGATTAGAAAATCTCATCTTGGGAAAGGTTGTGATATTTTGCAAACAGCTACAGATAGTACTGACACTTGGATATTCTGACTTCCAGGCCAAAGATCTCTCCAGGCACACACCAGTACTGACTGAACACATACCATAGGCAGGGACTTCTCTGGGTACAGGGACTAGCCACAGACAAAACAGACTTCAAAGTTACTTCAGGCTGGGCCCTTAGGGCCACTTAATGCCACCTGTATAGTTCACATCTGCTGGGACTGGGGGGCCCTAAACTGAAGTAAGAAACCCTGGTTACTCTTTCTCCTTACATCCATAGGTCAGGGATTCCCCTCTCAGCCCCAGAGACAAAGGGACACTTCCCAAACCAATATCACCCAGTGTCACCCAGTGTCGCTGGGCCATCTCAAGAACTCTCTGCACCCACAGCAAGTTGCTCCAGTCCCAGCCAGCCACCACCGTGGCCAGGTCTGGCAGAATCCCCCATCCCACCCAGTCACCACCCCCAGCCCGAGAGAGAGATGGCCAAGCACTTCTCAGCCTTTGTGACACTAAGTGTGGGTCAGTCACTGCTTCAGCAACTTGCTGGGCAGAGGACCCAAATGTGGGGAGTGCATCTATGAGGCCGTTATCAGGTTTGGACTGGACTGCTGCATGCACTACAGGCTTCCTGTTCCTGTAGAGAAAGCTGAGCCCTGTCCCACTTAACCATTTACTGCCGTGCCACGTGTGGTGAAGCCACAGTTGCACCGAGAGCCGGAGAGACCGCAGTTTGAAGCCCAGCTCTCCTGCTTACTAGCCGTGTGATCTTGAGGCAGCTATTCCATGTCCCTGAACATGCAGAGGAAATACCTTCTTCCCAGGATGGTTGCAAGGTTTAAAAAGAAGCATGAAGCTGTCATAGGCACTAAATGACAGCATTTGAAGTTCTGCCTCCCTCTCCTCTCAGCTCCACAGGCACCGTTCATGATTCTGGGCACACTTGACACTGTGACACCGCCACGCCTTCTTTGCCCAGCCAGACAGCCAGTTCACAGTGAGTCCATCTCTTCTGAAACTCAGTCCCCTAACAGTACCACTTCCCTGCTACCTGAGACAAATGAGTTTGTCATGTAAGACAAGCACCAAAAGATGGCACAGGCTTACCTAGATATCAGTCGTTTGTGTGTCAGGGAAAAAGACACCAGGAATGTCCTCTCTGACCCCTAACTCCAGTCGTTTACAGCAGAAAATGCACTGTTAAACCTCAGGTGTGACTGAAAAGGCCTA